AGGGGAGAGGATAGTGGTGCATGTGTACAGGGACAGGATCACAGGGTAGGGTGGGAAGGGGGAGAAGGAAGGTGAGTGAGGAAGGGGAGGAGGCAGGTAAGGCTTCCTCTGGGGAACTGGAGGTCTATCCTCAAGGAGAAAACATTTGAGTCACTTCCTAAGAGAAACCCCCATCCGTCCCATTCTTTCTACCTGCTGAGATTAGGAACAAACTAAAGCGTGGCCATGGAGTGGAGCCTGAGCCTCGCAACAGAAACAGGAAAAACTGCTCATGTTTGACCCTTGTCTTAGTGAGGAAGAAAAGTGACCCACTGACACACATCTTAGGAAAAACTGAGTCAGCTTTTATCACCAACCTTTCAAATACTCTTTAAAGACAAGGACTGCGTGGGTGGAAGTGAGGTTACCCTGCAGCAGCGTTCTGGCCAGCCAACTTGGAATTTGGTGCTTTCAGTGACTTCCTCTTCCTCAGGGTCTTCAGGGGTGTGAGGTGTGTCTTAGCCTGTTTCTTTCTCTAAGATCAACTTGGAAGCATGCCTGCATTTCCTGAATGCCAAAGTTTGCACAAATCAATAATCAACAGCAAAATGGCAGCCCGAAGTTAATCCAAAAGTTGTTTCATTTGGGGTAAAGATTTTAAGCTAATCAAGACAAAAAAAGGTGTTAACAAGATTGTCTATGCCAACAAACTTGAAGACCTAGAAGAAACAGGGCTGGTTGGTTAGCTCAGTTGTTTAAAGCGTGGTGCTGATAACACCAAGGTCCAGGGTTTGATCCCTGTACTGGCCAGCTAAAAAAAAAAAAAAAAAAAAAAAAGGAAAGAAAAGAAAACCTAAAGGAAACATATATTTTCTAGGGGGAAAAAAACATCTAACCATACCAGAAGAAACTGAGAAAGTTGTTAAAAAGATACTGTGGAAACAGGGAAGGAAAGGGAGACCTCAGGCCAGGATGTTTTTCAGGTGGAATCAATCAAACCTTTAGGAATGCTAATTCCAATGCTATTTAAACTGCTCCTGGGCCTAAGGAAAGGAGAAAGGCTTCCTCATTCTTTACTGGGAACCTGTAGAATGTTGATAGCAGAAGTCGACAATTATAGCACAATAAAGGAAAATCGCAGACTTCATTTACACATAAACCAATGCAAAAAAAAAATCCAAAATAAAATATTAGCAAATAAAACCCACCAGGACATTAAAAGAAGTCACCAGAACCAAGTGAGACCTGTACAGTGTAACAAGGATGGTTGGATTTTGTTTATATTAACATATCAAAGGAGGAAAATCATGATCATCATAGATGTTGAAAAGACATTTGACAGGGCCAGCCCGTGGCTCACTCGGGAGAGTGCGGTGCTGATAACACCAAGGCCCCGGGTTCGGATCCCACATAGGGATGGCCGGTTAGCTCACTGGCTGAGCGTGGTGCTGACAACTCCAAGTCAAAGGTTAAGATCCCCTTACCGGTCATCTTTAAAAAAAAAAAGAAAGAAAAAGAAAAGACATTTGACAAAATTTACTATTTATTACAAAACATCAAATTAAAAAGAGGGATTCTTTCTTTCTTTCTTTTTTTTTTTTAAAGATGACCGGTAAGGGGATCTTAACCCTTGACTTGGTGTTGTCAGCACCACGTTCACCCAGTGAGCTAACCGGCCATCCCTGTATGGGATCCGAACCCGTGGCCTTGGTGTTATCAGCAC